AATAGACAATACGATGAAACAAACTGTATTTGTATTGACGTCCACCAAACATACATAAACCTACCAACCCCCAATAAACAATCTAGACAAATTGTTGTAAGATCCCATCTGATGATAGACAAATACCACAAACAGAAGTGTTGCCCTATCTCACCTTCTCATAATTAGATTTGGTTCAGAGGCGACCCCAACAATTGAGATTTACGGCCTAGTTTCAGGCCTTCAAGCCAGACAGATTCTTAGGCTGAATGACTGGTGCTCCCTTTCCCTTGCCTCAAGAACAGGATTTAATTGATGTGTAAACTCTACAAAATAAAGGAACGTTGCTATGCTATGCCAGTTGAAAGTCACCGTATGTATCACCGGTCCATAATTGTGACCAACCATGAGATAAGGACCTTGCGGGTGAAAAATCACATTTTGACTTTTCGTTATATTTTAGAACTACAGCATCTTCGGAACACAAAAATATAATTCACAAGCTTCAATTCATATTTATCACAGAGATACATGACATCACACATGGCTATCTTCACTGAAGTAAGTTGACGTCGAATGTCTTTGACGTCACAGCACAAATGTATCCTCACCCAACAGGTCCCTTCTCTCCTGGTGGGTCACAGTTATTGTCCTAGATTTATGCTGCTGAGAAGATTCTCCTTGTTACGGTCACTGCCGTGTGCAGGGGTAGTGTAGAAAGTCAGGCCAACACATCCACAGCCTGCTATCCACACACGATCTGCCAGGAACACGACAGGAATGCCACCAATGAATTAATGTACCTTCTCCCTGAAGAGAGCCATACAGGAGTTCTTCACTGAAGGAGGTTTTTTCACCGAACAGATCCTATCGCTAGCTTTGAAAAACCATCAGGGGAAAATTTCATCTCCAAAAATGCGATAAATATGACTCAGTCGACTATAAAAAGTTGCCTGAATTGTGATTGCTACCATTCTAGCCTCTATGGTTATGGCCGCGTCTTCGGACTGGGTGTTGCAAGGAATGTTGATTTCTGATCGAGAGGTTGATATGGATGTGGTGGTATTATCGCGATACATTTTAATATGTGTAGTTTAATAAACTGATGGAAGGTTCATGTTGATGGGATGGGATGAGATGGGCTGTCACATAAATTTTGTAAGTTGCGTCACATCAGCATGACTTGTATACTGATGGGGTGGCGGGGTTAGTTGCTTTGTATAATGAGCAAGGAGTTGATGGAAAATTGTGTGTTTTCATTGCATTTGTTAAAAATATGAATTCTTCGGTTGATTTGATATTAAAAAGTTTCTGAACTGGAAAATTGAAGTGTACTTGATGTTATGTTTAACTGATGGATTGAAACAAATCAACATGCAAAATTGAAGAGAAATTGACGCTCGTGTTATCTTTTGATTAAATCTACAGCTCAGATATCTTCTGACTTGTGTCAATGTGGAACTTGTGTCCCAGGCTGGGATGGGAGTTTATGCTATGAAATATACATGGAGGATGTTTGCAGAAAACAGACCTGTCAATCAAACAGGGCAATCAATGTCGGAAGCACCTGTTTCTTCAGGTACATGATTACCACAACAGGAAATAGATGCTGCTTTTTATAGAAATACACAATGGAAATGTGAAACTTTGAGTTCAAAGAAACAAAAAGAAACATCTTTGATTACACGCGATATTAACTAGAAACTCTACATGGGTGTTTAACATCACAGCTAATTTAAGGCTGACTGAAGTATTATGAGCATTTGATACAGAACTGGAGATTACGTGATAAAGGTGGGAGAAGTAACATCGCACACAATTCATTAACCCCAAGCTCATTTGAGACTACCACGCAAATAGAGGGAGAGAACCGTTAGTCCACACTGCACTAGTCACGGTAGACTTGCACAAGTCTCTAAGGCAATAGTTATAAGTTCCTGATTATGTAAATAATAAGAACAAATTAAGGAAGAGGATATATGGATGTCAACTTCTTTATTACACCTCAAGTGTTCCTCATAATAAAGAATTTGACATCCATGTATTCTCTTCCTTATGGGTATCACTTCTAAATGCCTTTCATGCCGTGATATAACTGGAATAATGTTAAAAGCGGCGTTAAACCCAACTCACTTACTCATTCACTCTAAATGCCTTTCAAAGACCTGATAAGAACAAGTTGTCCCTAAAAAGACTGTAGACCTTAGAAATAATGCAAACAATTACTTGAGGATCTGTGAGGAGTTATCATAGAACTGAATACGTAAGTAGTCTTAAAATTATCTGCCAGGGCCCCGTTGCACAAAGCAATGTTAGCGCTAAGACGATCGTAACTCCCATACTTTATCATAGGCTTACGATAATTGTAGCGCTAAGATTGCTTTGTGCAACGGGGCCCAGTTGTCAGGCAGGTTGAGGAAAATTTAATGCAGTGCGACAGAAAAGTTGCCAGCCACAGACAGGTGGGCTGGCAGGCAGTTATTTGGGACTCTGTCAGTACCTGTGAATGTGTCCCTTCACATGGTGACATACAAGCAGCAGTAGCAGATCAACTGGCACATCCAACAATTCCGGCCTCTGGAGTAGTCTCGCCTCTTCCTGGACAGGACTTTCGCCACAGATAGGTCATACCATTGCTCAGATGACATACTTTTAGAAATTGTGGTGTCTACTCTCTCACTGAGGTAGGGTACATGATTATTTGAAAGATACAGGAGATGTGTGTCAGCATGGTCGTAAGCTTGCCCAATATTGCCCTGCATGGCAAGATGGCAGTCAGGTTGAACTAACCCGGGACATTTAAAGAAGCAGCATGGGTGAAAACTGTTTACCCACTGAGTGGGCTAGTGTTACAAGCTGACTTAGCCCGGTGCTGCCTCTTGACTGGAGAAGTGATTAGGTTAGAAAACTGATACACCAAGATCCATTGAAGCGCTCTCAGAACCCTCCCTCCCTTCCTCACCCCTCGTGCCCCTCGGAGTGTACCCCCACTAGGAGTTTAAATATCGGCACCCTCAGAAATTGCATTGGTAAATGTTTGGCTAAGGTTTTTAATGTATTTAAAGCTTTGTGGTGTCTTTTTAAATGTAATGAACAAATTAGAAGGTGTGTGATGAGTTCGAAGTATCATATATAATCTTTCAGTTCATTAATCAACAAAATGCATTTGATGAGGTTTTTGGTGGTGTTGATGTGCTTTATGTTGAAATCATACAAGTCTGAAATTGATCTGTGGTTAGGTCAGATTTACCTTGTGATAATGTATTGTCACTGGTAGATCGATGGCCAGATTTTCTAGATCACTTGAAATCAATTTCAGAGTCAGGTTTTCTTTGGATTCTGGACTTGATCCATCATTACACATCTAGATTGTTCGTCGTAAATTTGAAAACAATATGTTTCCATTAAAGTCTTAGTAAACACAACTCCCTTGTAGATTCACCTGATTGAACAAGCGCGGATCAAACCACAGGGACTGCTGTCCATGAGCTTTACAATTACGCTTTACAGCAGAGTTTTATTGCTGGCGAGAGGTCGGTAAAATGGAATCCAAATGGATGAAAAATGGTCCCGGGCAGATGAAAGAGCTGCAGTAATTTTAGGGCAAAATTTCATTTAATCGCACGGATGATTTGAGTTTTTTATTGTTCGCCCAACAGATTTATCATGATTTTGGAACTGTCTACGACTGCCAGCTGGCAGCTGCTTTAAAATGGCACCATTCTGCACTAGGCATGAACTGTTGGTAACCAATAGCAACCAAGTGGAATCACAGCTAGACATCACATGCAGTGGGTTGCACTTGGAGTGTGCCCACATTTCAAGTATTCAACTGTGTTTAATTAAACTTAAACCTTTCTGTCTGTCAGTCAGGAAATTTTACCAATAAAAAATGCAAATGACAATGATTGATTTACCCCCCCCCCCCCCCCCCCCCCCCCTCCTCCTTCAGTAGTTCAGATTTTAGATGAAATGGGAAGAAATGCTTTGTTTTAGAATAGTGATGACATCATCAATTTGTATTCTGAAATGAATAGTTGATTTCAACCAGGTATAGGTTTATGACTTTGTACACAGGACAGATAGATCGTAGTTGAGTCATGTTGTGTCTGGTACAAGCTGTGTAGGGAATATAGTGTGATTCTTAGATCTTGCTCATGATGTGTTCTGTTGCTGAAAACAAAGCACATTTGTAAGTAATGAAGTTTAAAGTTTGTTCATGTATCAGTCACAGTTTAATAACACTTCCATCTATGATTCAGGCAGGTCTATGTAACAGTGTGACTGATGTAGATGTTATCATGATCATCGAATCTGGACTGAACAATGTTGGAAACAAGTTAGGTAGTAACAACTATATGAATCCCATATTTACAGCGATCAGTCAGTCCTTGGTCACTCATGTCATTTCATCTCTTTATTGCTTGTATTTAAAACATTTAAACGGGGGGAGAAGGATGTTTTTTGTTTGTTAGATGAAAACTATTTTCTAGAATGTATTACCATGAATCAGTCAACTAAACCTTTAAGCTGTCTCCATTGAGGCTAATTTGCATAAATTTGAATATCTAACTCATAAATCAGTTGCAGATTATCTCTGATCTTGTCATTTGACACTGATTATTCACACCAAATGCTGCTTTCTGTAGAGAATCATTGTCGATTTCACCTTTGAAGATGTCACTCACAAGTTTAGCACTCTACTGCCGAAGACAAAGAAATCCTTCTAATTAGAAGCTGATGTTTGGGTGACAACGTGTGTCGTATCCGTCTTGCTTCAGTTTCGCTATGATCATGAACGGTGGAAATTGACATGGATTAACGTTTTGACGCTGTCAGAGTTTTAATGAAACTGATTTGTGTTTAGTGGGTTCCTAGTGACTTAGTAAGGGGTTGGGAAAATTTGATAAGAGAAAGAAGGGAAACCTATTTTGAACAGACACAACAAAGGAAGCGGATATCTGCAGTGAACTGTAAACATATCATTGACAACAAATGAGGCATGCTTGGTGCAAAGAAAATATTTTGGAGCTGAATGTATTTCAATTACAGAATTCAAATCCATAGCAGATAAACTGTGACAACATAAATGTTAGCTCAAGTAGCTCACTGAAACAGAGGTGATGAAAATATCCCTTGGACAGCTTCATCAATCTCTGGACATGTTTAACCCAGACAAATTAATATTAGCAGAAAAATGCAATGAACGCTTTGCAGCAATCCATTTTTGCCAACCCTTTGAGACCAAGTGGCGCCTGTCATTTCTGAACAGTCAAGAAAGTTTCATGTCAATTACCAGAGGGCTGAACTCAATTGGAATCTGTGGGTATAAAATCTTCGCTAAGCCTGTCTCCACCTCGGAGGAATTAACGTGAGACTGATGGACTTGCTGTATGTCTTGTAGGTATCAGTGTAAATTGTCCAACAAGTCATGTATTCTCCGTGGATGTCTGGTAGACGCAAGGGCTGGTGTCCCTCACCTTCACAAACCCAATCGGATCACCATTTGCGATCATCTGCCCTGGGACTCCTCTGCTGCTGTTCAGGACCATCACTCAGTGTGCTGTAGCTGTAGTGATTAAAGTGTCATGTATACTGCACCACTTGCAATCGTATCACCATTAATCATGGCCGAATTTGCAAATCCTGAGGTCTGGAATCTTAGCATTAGTTTATGTAAGGATAAAAAGATCAATCCTGTTTGAAAAATATTTGCAAATGTTTACTCAGGAACAAAGCTGTGAGAATTTTTCTTTAAAGTCTTGCAGTTAGCTTGACCTTTGACATTTCCAACTTTACTGTTATATTTTAGAATTTTGTCCAGCATGAATTGACCTTTGATCAATGACTTTGACCTTAAGCACAAAACATTTGACATTTTCAAGTTTACTGGGTTTAAAAAAAATAAAAATTGGTGTGACGTCAAGAAGAATGACCTTTGATCTATAAATTTGACCTTAAGGACAAAACATTTGACATCTTCGACTTTACCGTTATATTATAAAATTTGTCCTTTGTCAGCATGAATTGACCTTTGATCAATGCCTTTGACCTTAAGCACAAAACATTGACATCTGCAGCATGTCCATGACTGAATTACTGTGTTGTGGAGGAGGAGGAGGCTAGCCTCGTCCCCCGCCCTGTTACTCACTATGTAATAGATCTCCTCCTTCACACATCGTAATGAAGCATAGACATGGCATCGGCATCAAAGCAAATCTTTTTTCTCGCCAAAGAAATTCCTGTGAGATTTGGATCAGGCAGGATGATTCTGCCTGAAATTCTAGAATGGAAAAAAGTAAATGGATAAATTCTTCCAGGAGAACTTGGATAGGCTTTCCAAGCAGAGAATACAGATGGTGTGACCCGGAGTATGTTTGGTATAAATGTAAAATGATTGAGTAATACAATACATGTGATTTGTGGGTTTCACGCAAGGCACAAATGTGCGTCCAGTTCGCACAAATGTAGAGAATGGACACAGAAAAAAAATATACTGCATCCCAAAGGACGCATAATAATATTCATTGTACCTGAAGCGCATCAACAACAGTTATGGGTGTCTGTTATTTCATACGTCTATCATGACCACTGCCTCTTGATCCTTGATCTCTCCAGTAATTATCTAAACATACAGTACACTACACCATTACAGCACTTTACAGGACCCTCATACTGCCTGCCTGCAAGGACCCTTGAAAGTAATGATTCGGGGCCCCCCCCGGACCCCTTGTAAGTCAAGGTAAAACCCTGCATAGGTTCCTGGCATGCCCAAGGGATGCAACTCTGCACAGTGAATTGTGGTGTCGTTAGACTGGGCCCATGCCCTGACCCAGAAGGAAATTGTGACTTGTGTTTAATGTCTTGTCTTCATCTTTCAGGTATACCCGTATTGTTCCCGAATCAAGTTTCATCGCACAGGCAAAGGCCAATCCAGAGGTGAAGGTTGATGTGAGGCCCAACTATGAGCTGCTGAATGTTAAGGAAAAACTAATCCACATGAGAAGGGTAAGAGTGTCCTGCATGAAGACTTCTCTTGTTTTGTTCTTGTTGTGATGTCATCAGGTGTCCATGCATCTAGGTAAATCATCATCAGTATCAAAGTATGTTATACGCATTGAGATAGGATGTTGTGAGTGTTGTGGTATGATGTGGTAAACAGCGAGCATGACCACCCAATCCTGTTAGTCGCCTCTTACAACAAGCATAGTGGCTTTTTAAGGCATGCATGGATTGATGAAGACCTATTCTACCCTGGATCTTCACGGGTCTGTCATGAGTTTTGTGGTGTGATGTCATGAACATTGAGGTATGATGTCATGAGTGATGTGTGGGATTGACAAGCTCTGTTGACATTACATTTGATGGTGATTGACTCCACAACTAGCCTTGTGTGTCATCATATTGAATGTCACTGTGTATTATTGTATTGAATGTCACAGTGTGTTTTTGTATTGAATGGCAACATATGAACCCAAGTCTTTCCAAAGTGTTTGATGTGTTGAAACTGTTAATGTCAGAATACAAAACCACTAACGGGATCGGGTGGTCAGGCCTGCTGACTTTGTTGATGCATGTCATCGATCCTAAGTGCGTGGATTGATGCTCATGATGTCAATCACTGGATTGTCTGGTCCAGACTCGATTATTTACAGACCGCCCTCATATAGCTGGAATATTGCTGAGTGCGGCGTTAAACAACAAACAGAATACAAAACCCTTTTGAAAGTCAGAGAAGCATCCTGACAGGAACCCCAACAGTGGGCACACATCAGTTGCTTTACGCACAATGTCTCCATCAATAGACAAGTTACATAGAGAATATTTTTAAATGAATTCTGTTACTGAAAAATTAATTATTTAATATTCAATTTTCATGGTTTATTGTTCGAATGTTACGTAGCACCGAAAACATACATGTTTGATGGGAGTGAATGAGGTGATATGGCCTGTGACAATAGTGTTGTAATTGACTGGATCGTGGTGATGATGGCTTCGCTGACAGGTCAGGCTTGATTAGGTACAGTGTCGGACACTTGCAATAATCCACTACGGGATATGTAGGTCAAGACAAATACATGGTAATTTGCACTGCTACTTCTATTTGTGGAATATGTTCTTAATGGAAATAAAGAGACAAGTATGTCTTTTTTAGAAAAATGTTGTGTGAACATTAAAATTGAATTCTTGCCCTCATTTCTCAGGCCATGTTTAGGGCTATGAACCTTCAGGGGTCCTTACCCTAATGTTAAAACATATTAGGGGTTCCTAGGTTTAAATGCCATAGGAAAAGTACCAAGTGGGTACATGGACAACACACAGGTGGAATACACAGTGGGTACATGGACAACACACAGGTGGAATACACAGTGGGTACATGGACAACACACAGGTGGAATACACAGTGGGTACATGGACAACACACAGGTGGAATACACACTGGGTACATGGACAACACACAGGTGGAATACACACTGGGTACATGGACTGGGTACATGGACAACACACAGGGAGAATACACAGTGGGTACATGGACAACACACAGGTGGAATACACACTGGGTACATGGACAACACACAGGTGGAATACACACTGGGTACATGGACAACACACAGGTGGAATACACACTGGGTACATGGACAACACACAGGTGGAATACACAGTGGGTACATGGACAACACCCAGGTGGAATACACAGTAGGTACATGGACAACACACAGGTGGAATACACACTGGGTACATGGACAACACACAGGTGGAATACACACTGGGTACATGGACAACACACAGGTGGAATACACAGTGGGTACATGGACAACACACAGGTGGAATACACACTGGGTACATGGACAACACACAGGTGGAATACACAGTGGGTACATGGACAACACACAGGTGGAATACACACTGGGTACATGGACAACACACAGGTGGAATACACACTGGGTACATGGACAACACACAGGTGGAATACACAGTGGGTACATGGACAACACACAGGTGGAATACACACTGGCTACATGGACAACACACAGGTGGAATACACAGTGGGTACATGGACAACACACAGGTGGAATACACAGTGGGAACATGGACAACACACAGGTGGAATACACAGTGGCTACATGGACAACACACAGGTGGAATACACAGTGGGTACATGGACAACACACAGGTGGAATACACAGTGGGTACATGGACAACACACAGGTAGAATACACAGTAGGTACATGGACAACACAGTGGGTACATGGACAACACACAGGTGGAATACACAGTGGGTACATGGACAACACACAGGTGGAATACACAGTGGGTACATGGACAACACACAGGTGGAATACGCAGTAGGTACATGGACAACACACAGGTGGAATACACACTGGGTACATGGACAACACACAGGTGGAATACACACTGGGTACATGGACAACACACAGGTGGAATACACAGTGGGTACATGGACAACACACAGGTGGAATACACACTGGGTACATGGACAACACACAGGTGGAATACACACTGGGTACATGGACAACACACAGGTGGAATACACACTGGGTACATGGACAACACCCAGGTGGAATACACAGTGGGTACATGGACAACACACAGGTGGAATACACACTGGCTACATGGACAACACACAGGTGGAATACACAGTGGGTACATGGACAACACACAGGTGGAATACACAGTGGGAACATGGACAACACACAGGTGGAATACACAGTGGGTACATGGACAACACACAGGTGGAATACACAGTGGGTACATGGACAACACACAGGTGGAATACACAGTGGGTACATGGACAACACACAGGTAGAATACACAGTAGGTACATGGACAACACAGTGGGTACATGGACAACACACAGGTGGAATACACAGTGGGTACATGGACAACACACAGGTGGAATACACAGTGGGTACATGGACAACACACAGGTGAAATACACAACGGTTGCAGTACTGAGTGACAAGGTATCAAACAATGCAGAAAACAAATAGTTTGTTGTAGAAATTGATTGGGAGTGGTGGCAGAACAATGATATAGACACTCCCAAACAGATGGGGATAAGAAAACAGTGGAAATCTGAGGACATGCATACCTGTGCTGACTGAAATACTAAAACACAGGTGGATATTGATTGTTATTGATTGGTGTCAATAAAACACATCTCCCAATTAATGGAGCTTTGTATGTGCCGTGTGTCCTTGTAATGTCGGCATGACGGTGGTGAAACTCACTAATCAGAGGGGACAGTGAATCATCTGCATGCTTCCGCTGGGTTAGTCAGTGCAGTGACGAAGCCACGAGTCATAGGATGGAATGGGATGGGGATGGGTAGGCTTTGAGGGTACAGGAGACCGAGCTGATACATGGCCAGGGGTTCAGATTGGTTCAGAACCCAGAATCCCCACAGCAAGAGGCACTAGAGACATACTTTGGGGATGGGGTTGGTCTACGCCTCTGGTTCTTTTGAGGAAGGGGTACGAGAGACATAGGTTGGATATGGGGTTGGCCTTCTTGTGAGTCAGGGTTGGTCGACACCTGTGGTTCTTGTGAGACATAGGTTGGTTGACACCTCTGGTTCTCGTGAGTCGGGTGTGAGACATAGGTTGGACATGGAGTTGGTGGACACCTCTGGTTCTCGTGAGTCGGGTGTGAGACATAGGTTGGACATGGAGTTGGTCAACACCACTGGTTCTCGTGTGTTGGATGTGAGACAAAGGTTGGACATGGAGTTGGTCGACACCTCAGGTTCTCATGCGTCGGGTATGAGGCGTCGACACCTCTGGTTCTCATGCGTCTGGTATGAGGCGTCGACACCTCTGGTTCTCATGCGTCGGGTATGAGGCGTCGACACCTCTGGTTCTCATGCGTCGGGTATGAGGCGTCGACACCTCTGGTTCTCATGCGTCGGGTATGAGGCGTCGACACCTCAGGTTCTCATGCGTCGGGTATGAGGCGTCGACACCTCAGGTTCTCATGCGTCGGGTATGAGGCGTCGACACCTCAGGTTCTCATGCGTCGGGTATGAGGCGTCGACACCTTCTTGGTGAGAAAGGGGTAGGATATACATAAGGAAGACTAGATTGGGAGTTTGAACATCGCGCTGGGATCTAGTGGTTGATTCATTATCTTAATGAATTGAAACACAGCAAGTCACTGATGCATTAACCCTTACATGACACAACATAGATGCAACAGATAAGAGAGATTCAACACAGATACACTCAGATACACGATGTCACTGATAGTCAGATATGCAACCACACAACCAACAAGGGGTTTGCTGTGTTGACCTATTCGAGTGTTGTAACCTGGCACCTATCAGATTACAAGGCAGACCACCCCCAGCACATGTGTAGCTGACAAGTAATAATAAAACACTAATGGAACAATGCCACTTGTAAACTGCAGTCTTGTCACAGAAGAGGAATTTTACCCCCTGATAGTGGTCACAATCACAGCAGTAATCCATGCTGTTTTGTCATTGTGCGCTGACAAGTTCCTATGTACCCTACCAGTCTCCTAAATAACTGCCTGCCTGCCTGCCCATGGCTGATAACATTTCTGTCGGGCTGCATGTAATTTTCCTCCACCTGCCCGATTGTCTGGCAGATAATTTTGAGACTTAACTTACGTATTCAGTTTTATCATAACTCCTTGTAGATTCTCAAGCAATTGTTTGCATTATTTCAACTGAATCAGGACGCGATTTGTCTCTTCATTTTTTGCAGTCTTTTAATATTTATGTCTGAAGGCAGGCAGGTAACACTTATGGGGCACCTGCCCGACTGTCTTATTGGTTTGTTTTCATTTTATCAAACACTGTACTTACTGGTGACAGTGTGCAAGGTCAAATGCTTGTACCTTTGTCGGCAGCAAGGTCAAATGCTTGTACCTTTGTCAGCAGCAAGGTCAAATGTTTGCAATCGTTGTCAGCATCAAGGCCAAATGCTTGCACTGACAGCATAAAGCTTGAATGCTTGCACCGATAGCAGAAGGTACGAATGCTTGCACCCACAGAAGAAAGCTCGAATGCTTGCACCAACAGCAGAAGGCTCGAATGCTTCACAGACAGCAGAAAGCTTGAATGTTTGTCAACAGCATGATCCAATACTTGCACAGGTCATTAATGGCGTCAGACATTGTGCATGGGCCAATAGTCTGGTTTAATATGTGCATACCGCTAATATACACTATGGTGTTTACACCATGATGTATATATTGCCTGTGTTCCTATGATCTATATTTCACTGCTGCTGTGAGGGTCCACGTCAATGACCTGTCAGTCTCTCTGTCTGCGCCCTGCCATGTGAGACAATAAATCACTGCGCTTCATTACCCGACAGACAAAGACAAGGAAGAGGGGGCAGTGTCCGACAGGGGAGGCAACTCATCCATGTAGAAGAGTCGTTGCCAGGAGGTTCTCTTTTGGGCGTGTTTGTGCAGAATAAATGTTCAAATACCTTTGGTGAATATTTTCCCAGAAACAGGAGCTGTTATAGTATAACTAAGCTTCACTGAACATTTGTCCAATCCGTCTTCCAATCTGACTGGCTTTGCAAGTCACTGACCCACAACCTTAATAGCCCTATTTCACTTGTCTCCCAAAGCCGTTAGTCAGTTTTCCAAATACTCCAAATAGCTGGCCGAAATATTTATTGTCCTTATCTTTGGATCTGGGTGGAAATGAGAGTAATGGTAAGTGCGTTTGTGCTCGGGTGTTACTGCCAGGTGGTCGCAGTGAAAGGAAAGCTGTATGTTGGTAATTAATTTGAAACATATATTGTGTTGTTTCACGTCTCTGGAGGAAGTCTTGTGTTTCACTGTTTTCTGCAGTGGTCAAAGGACAAGAGCTATGGAAGTTATGTTTGTAGATCATTACAGCATCAACAGAGAGAGGCTTTTACTGACGAAAGTTAACTTACTTTGAGAAATCAAACGGTGATAAAGTGAGTTTAGTGGTTTGTGAAATATCAGTGTCGGCAGCGAAGCTGGTAACATTTGCTGTGAGAAATGAAAGTGGCAAATGTGAAAGTTGTAACAAAACACTTAAGCTCTTTGCACAGGCAATTGTTGCCATATAGTGGAACTGGGAAACATTTTTAGAGCTTTTATTAGGTTTGATAAAAGTAGTTACTGCAGGCTGGTCTGACATCCATGTTAGAGCCCCTGTTGGTGTACATGCAGGTATCAGCTGTGTAAGCAGGTTGGTCGTCCATGTTAGAGCCCCTGTTGGTGTACATGCAGGGTTCAATTGTGTAAGCAGGCTGGTCGTCCATGTTAGAGCCCCTGTTGGTGTACATGCAGGGTTCAACTGTGTAAGCAGGCTGGTCGTCCATGTTAGAGCCCCTGTTGGTGTACATGCAGGGTTCAATTGTGTAAGCAGGCTGGTCGTCCATGTTAGAGCCCCTGTTGGTGTACATGCAGGGTTCAATTGTGTAAGCAGGCTGGTCGTCCATGTTAGAGCCCCTGTTGGTGTACATGCAGGGTTCAATTGTGTAAGCAGGCTGGTCGTCCATGTTAGAGCCCCTGTTGGTGTACATGCAGGGTTCAACTGTGTAAGCAGGTTGGTCGTCCATGTTAGAGCCCCTGTTGGTGAACATGCAGGGTTCAATTGTGTAAGCAGGCTTGTCGTCCATGTTAGAGCCCCTGTTGGTGAACATGCAGGGTTCAACTGTGTAAGCAGGTTGGTCGTCCATGTTAGAGCCCCTGTTGGTGAACATGCAGGGTTCAATTGTGTAAGCAGGCTGGTCGTCCATGTTAGAGCCCCTGTTGGTGTACATGCAGGGTTCAATTGTGTAAGCAGGCTGGTCGTCCATGTTAGAGCCCCTGTTGGTGTACATGCAGGGTTCAACTGTGTAAGCAGGTTGGTCGTCCATGTTAGAGCCCCTGTTGGTGAACATGCAGGGTTCAATTGTGTAAGCAGGCTGGTCGTCCATGTTAGAGTCCCTGTTGGTGTACATGCAGGGTTCAATTGTGTAAGCAGGCTGGTTGTCCATGTTAGAGCCCCTGTTGGGGTACATGCAGGGTTCAATTGTGTAAGCAGGCTGGTCGTCCATGTTAGAGCCCCTGTTGGTGTACATGCAGGGTTCAATTGTGTAAGCAGGCTGGTCGTCCATGTTAGAGCCCCTGTTGGTGAACATGCAGGGTTCAACTGTGTAAGCAGGTTGGTCGTCCATGTTAGAGCCCCTGTTGGTGTACATGCAGGGTTCAACTGTGTAAGCAGGTTGGTCGTCCATGTTAGAGCCCCTGTTGGTGAACATGCAGGGTTCAATTGTGTAAGCAGGCTGGTCGTCCATGTTAGAGCCCCTGTTGGTGAACATGCAGGGTTCAACTGTGTAAGCAGGTTGGTCGTCCATGTTAGAGCCCCTGTTGGTGTACATGCAGGGTTCAATTGTGTAAGCAGGCTGGTCGTCCATGTTAGAGCCCCTGTTGGTGTACATGCAGGGTTCAATTGTGAAAGCAGGCTGGTCGTCCATGTTAGAGCCCCTGTTGGTGTACATGCAGGGTTCAATTGTGTAAGCAGGCTGGTCGTCCATGTTAGAACCCCTGTTGGTGTACATGCAGGGTTCAACCGTGTAAGCAGGCTGGTCGTCCATGTTAGAGCCCGTTGGTGTACATGCAGGGTTCAACTGTGTAAGCAGGCTGGTCGTCCATGTTAGAGCCCCTGTTGGGGTACATGCAGGGTTCAACTGTGTAAGCAGGCTGGTCGTCCATGTTAGAGCCCCTGTTGGGGTACATGCAGGGTTCAACTGTGTAAGCAGGTTGGTCGTCCATGTTAGAGCCCCTGTTGGTGTACATGCAGGGTTCAACCGTGTAAGCAGGCTGGTTGTCCATGTTAGAGCCCCTGTTGGTGTACATGCAGGGTTCAACTGTATAAGCAGGTTGGTCGTCCATGTTAGAGCCCCTGTTGGTATACGCAGGTATGCACTGCTGATGGGAGGGTGTGTGTTCAGTGGTGGTGATTGGTGACGGACATATTGTGTCAACCACACACCCTCTATGTGCATTTCAACATCACTATAAATAATTAATTCCTTGCCTAGTAAGGGGTAGCCTAGTGGTTAAAGCGTTCGCACGTCATGCTGAACACCCGCGTTTGATTTCCCACATGGGTACAATGTGTGAAGCCCATTTTCAGGTGTATCCTGCTAGGATATAGCTGGAGTATTGCTAAAAGCGACAGAAGAAACCATCCTCACTCAATCATCCTTGCCTAGTAAATCCTGTCACGATGTGAAAGTATGGAGATATTGAAATAATTATGTTGAACATATTTGAACATATGGAACAGTCTCTTCATGGGACACCCAGATTGAGGTATCCGGTGAGGTATCCGGTGAGGTATCCGGTGGCATACTTTCAGGTGAGGTGTCCATGCTGGATACCATGGATCTGGTATCCGGCAAGGTATCTGCCACCAGATACCTGGACGCGTTTTGGGTAAGTGTCCGGAGGTATCCGGATACCGGAAACTGCATTTATTTTTGCTGTCAGGCTGACATTCCAAGTCATTTGTATCTGAAGTAATGAACAATGCTGTTGTGTGACACTGAAGGTGAAGTGTGTGTATGTTTATGGTTCTCCCCGAGGTGGTAGCTACAAGCAGTAGATGGGGGAAGGGAACTTGACCATGAGTTGGGATGATGATGGTTACGACAGAAATACATTTAAATGATTCTGTGTCCCCAAATGGAGTTCCAGCATAGAACAGACCCCCAGAGCACAGATTTGTGAGACTGATGAAAAGAATAGTGATCAGGTGACAAGTGGGATCGTGGTTCTATCCTGATTATAAACAACATGCCAACATGTAAAAGGCAAAATAGTGTTGAAAATGACATGAGTGGATCACTGAAAATCAGTGATGACACCAGGTGTTCGTGAAAAGGGTAAGCAATTTCTGCTTACTTTCAGAGAGGGGTGGTATTAAGTGGTATTGTATGTTTCAGAACCTGAGCACGTTGTTGACGGATGAGCAGATGCAGGGGGACAGCCCCGAGGAACTGGTCTCCAGTGGGGAGAGGAGGATCAAGAACGAGAACATTCACATCAATGACGACGAGGACCTGTATGACCCCTCCGGCAGTGGTAGCGGAGACGACAGTGATGATAAAGATCCAGGTGTGTATTTAGTGCTTCATTTCCCCCCACCCCCACCCCCACCCCCACCCCCAACTGTTGATTAAGAGTATCGTTGATGGTCATGGAAATGTGTGCAGTGCTTGTGGTTATACTAACACGTAGTCTCTGAAAATATATACTTTGATAGAAACAAATAACTCCATTTAAATTCAAAAGGAGCCCCAGTGAGACATAAAATTCAGATCCAGAAGCTGGGGAAAATCTAGACTTGCTTTATTTAGGGCTGTGGCATTACAGTAAGGGCTGGGCTAAAGGGAAAATAATACCGTTTAGGGACTGAGGCAGACTAGTGGACTGCTTCCTCCTCCTCGCCCTGACCAGTGTACTGCTGGAAGATACTAACTAACCTCCTCCTATAATACTTCCTCCTCCACTAAGTGTTGAGTGAATAATTTATTAATACAGTTCAATATAGTAATCATTTGTAATTAATTCATACAAGTGATAGTGATTCAGCTTTCAAGTGATAGATGGAATTGGCTGTCGCGGTTTCCTTGAGTCAGTTCTGATAAATCGGGATAAGTATCCTCTGAATTATTTCTTTCTAATGAAACATTAACTTGAATGGACAGCCCAAAATCTTACTCAACAAATCTGAAAAACTAGCTTGAAAAATGGAGTTTTGAACATTGTGCAGACTGTTTTAATCATGTTTATGGAATGTTTAAAAACTAAAGTATTTGTTACAAAGCTAACGTGTTCCATGTGATTGATATGTAAAATATCAGGGAGACTGGGTTCCATCAATTCTATCCCGGTGGGTATTAAGCCCCAATTTGTGTTTTCTTGCCATCGCGAAGGGCACAGAATCGATGTACAAATTAAATTTTGTCGCGTGGAGTCCAATTTGGTTGACATACGCAGGTAGGGGAGTCTCGTACCTGACTCGAATCTAAAACATTAGAAAGTGACAGAAATCTTTTTATTTTGTGTGTGGCAAGTTGTTTTTTAACAGCTGGAGAGCATTTGTGTGCGTTCTGCCTCTCATGAGCTTTAGAAAGAGACAGTTATTTGAAAGTTAAGAAATTATACGAGGATAGTATATAGTTTTGTGGTTCCCATAGACCATAATTACCTAACTTGGCATGGTAGTAACTGTACTGGAGGAAGTGGTCTATGCATTGTTGTTCACTTAACTTATCAATAACTTATTCATTTTGGGGTTCTAAAACACAAGCTAAAAAAACATAGCTTAGACATGTAATTTCAAATGTTAGGGTAGCCGTGTTGCCTGGCCACTCTACGGGAACACTACTTTGCCTGGATGAGTGAATATGGATGTTACACGATGCTAACGAACCCTTTCAGAGTGAAAGTAAACCCAAAAACTTCACTGGCCCTGTAAAGATAAAATGTCTTTGTAATGTTAAAACAATGGGATATTTGGGAATTTGTACTAGCCCGGGGCTAGTGGACTCATGTTAAGTTCTAACCCTGCCCTTCAATCCAAACAGTTTATATTCTCATTAAACCTTTTCAGAATGAAGTCCTTGGTTGAAGGCCTTCTGCATTGTCAGGTTGTCAGTGTTCTAGCATGTCAAGCATCTTCGTCGAGGTGTCCTTGCTAATAAGGATCCCTTGTGTCCAATTATTTTTATTCTAAGTTGACATTGTGATCAAAGCTGATGAATTCTACTTGCATTACATGCATTAAGAACATTCTGTTCCAAAGCTATGCCCAGAATGATTTTGCAAAGAAGAAAAATACGCTTTTTTAGTCACAACAGAATTATTTTTGTCCTCTTGTTAGGGGATACTTACATCTTGACCTCAAACTTGCATGTCATAAATTTTCAGGCCTTTGAAAATTGCCATGGATATAGGCTGTATTTTGCGTTTTAGAACTGTTTTTGTTCTCTTCTCATCAGTGGGTTCTGAACAAGGAAAATGACTTTCCTATTGATTTTTGTAGTATCAAAAGCAAGGAGCCCGTGGGAGCTAGGTTTTATTGCTTTGGGGGATCCTTCTCCATGCTGCCTAGCGAGCTCGTTCATAGAGACGAGTGCACCTATAGAGTCATTAGACGTGATGGGACCTGCCGAAATGAAACCTAGTCTATTTCAGTTTAAGCGAGGCTTACGTTATTTGTCGATTTGGCTGGTTTTATACAACATTAATCACAATCTTGAGTAGGGATAGAAATATTAATGATAGGAATCTGCATTTTGTGGGAAGCAATTAATCATTTGGTCTTCGATTGATCATCTGATGAATATTGATGAAGTTGAATTTCATTATCCTAGATAGGTCTAAGACTTCAATCTCTTAAGAATGGACCTATGTCTTGTAGCCACAAAGCTCCAGGGATGTTGCATGGTTGTGAGATAGGGCAACATTGTGGGGGTCTGGGATCTGGCTTATTGGCAAGTTTAGGATTAGATTACTTCTGTGACCTCCATTTCCATTGCTCTTGGTTGGTGGTGAGAGTATCGCTCATCACATCAACCTTCACGTTGCCTTTGACAAAGAAGTATGGAATTAATAAATATTTGTGAATTCAAGAAATCGGTGAGGTATCCAAGAACTACGAGGCTACTTTTGTACTTTTTCGTTTAGTCGTCAGCTACAAACATGTAAGTGTATGTGGTGGCACGGCTGTCAGGGCTTACAGTCCCAGCTTGAGTGGCCTGTAGTTAGTTCTGTGGACCAAATGCTGGCTCTGTCAGCTTGGCATGGGTGGTTCAGAGGAAGTAGGCCGCACCCTGGTTTGGTCATCAGTAAAGGTGAAAAGATTTCATGTGACAATACGATACATTTTTTCTGTATCAATGCAAGACAATACATTTGCTATGATAAATTAATTACTTGTTTAGTCACTCCACTCCCAACCCTGGTTTTTTTGGCAGTCAAATAACACAATATCTGTTGTATTTACCATTTCACTTCTACAAACAAACTGCTACAGATATGTGTCACAGCTAGCATTTTCTTTGGAATCTGCTCTGAAATATTTATAGTCAAGACATGATTATATGTAAATATGTGTATTGCGATATGTATCTTATCGTTATATGTGTCGTTTCCCCCCTATTCGTCAGTAGGCAGATTCTGAGAGTTAATTGAATCCATGAGTTGGTTCCCCGAATGCAAATTATCAGATTATTAGATTGATGACTTCAAGGTTTTTCTCCCACACAAATCATTGACCTCTATAACATGACTAAATCTGAGCTGAATACCAACAACTTTCATCACGTCACTCGCACAAACTTACTCCAAATAGTGTCTAATCCGATCACTAACTCTTCATTTTCCCTGTCTGTTTCAGTTGCACCAAGACCAACACCTCCATACTCCCACAAGCCGAAGCAACCCAAAGATTCCGGAGCTGGACTAGTGCCCGTAACGTGGTCAGTGATTGCCCTGTGTTATTGCCTGGCGCAGGTGCTTTATGTGTGAGAGTGGGAGCTACCAGGCCGCTGTCTGGATGGTTGACACATCTGTCGTATTTCAAGCTGCATTTGAGAGACAATTGATAGACCCGAGGACAAACATATATGCAATTCCAGGAGGAACACGAGGAACAGGCTGCTCCAACTCCTTCCGAGGCCTGTCTGTGATAATTTCTGAACTTAAGAAGATGATATTATATCCATTAGTAACCTCAGTCTGGTACCATCTCAGGAAAGCTAAATTATTACCTAGAATGCCTTCAAACACAAAATTGAGTTTAGCCAGGGAAGTAGAAATGCTGGGCATTTATCAGGAAGGAAACGTGGTTCCGTAGATTGCGAATCTGCCTCCAAGGGTTTGTCATGTCATGTGACTCTGTACAGCTGCAGCTGAACTATGTGTTTATTATTGTCACTTGGGAAATATTGGTGCTCGTTATATCCATGGTGTGAAAAGTTGATTCAACTATGAGGAAAATTGTGCGAACTATGTGACGGGGGGAAAAACCCAAGACCTTGTGACGTGTGTAACATACAGATGTTATCAAACGATTCCTTCTCCGAAAAAAGTTCGAGCCACACACTGGGGGCAAACATTGACCGGGTGAAGGTCAGTGTAAAGGTGAAGGTCATGTGGAACTGGAGATGGATTACATGACATTAAACATTCATTATATTAAAGATTTCAAGACGACCTTCGCCAAGAGGAATGAGGATGGACAGACTGGATACTGTCAAATCACTAGCTGTTTGAAGAACGGAATTTAACCTTGCTGGGACGGCTAGTTCGAAGATGTATGTCTTGGCAAAACCCTGGACATTACAATTATGGAGTGTGACATTTGCTGGATTAGAACATCCTTTGCAGCAATATAGAAGAAGTGTCCAAAGATGATTTTAATATATGCTACCTTGAAGCATGGAATCCATTGGTTGTCCAGAGAATTGGAGTAACTGGTTGTCTCTGGGCTGCTCGGTGAATGCTGAGATTGTGAAATTGATGTCATTTTGAAATGATTACATGAAGTATGTTTTACTAGTGATGATTAGCTGTATTTATGTTTCAATCCTTATAGTTATACTTGCAACTGCTTCTAAAATGAGTATGTCCACTTACACCAAATATCTAAAAAATATATGTGAAAAAATAACCAGTATCCTATTCATTTCAGTGCTATTTTATATTGGATTATGTAGGTAGACTATACATGTAAGTTTCAGATTATTATGATAAGCAACTATATAGAACAGTAATACTGATGATTGTAAATTTTCTACACCCAAGAGGTTTTTTTGTTTTTTTTCTCTGTTTCTGATTGACTGTTGGCGTATGAATGAAGAATTTTTAAATGAGGAATTTTACAGTGTCAGAATATTGTGCTGTCTGCTGTTGAAGCATGTGTATCTTTTAAATCTTATTTTTCTATCAAATAGACCTTTCTACTGTATGGTATACACATAAAAAAACAAGCATCACATTTGTTTAGGATGTTTTCTAATATGTTGAAAGATTTTATCAAACTTTTACCACAGAGTACTACTGTCTCAGAAGTTTTGAAATATCCATTTGATGAAAATTTGAAACAATTAATTCAAAATGTCTCCAAATGTTAAGCAATTTGTCTCAGTTGATGAAAGGGAAGTAACTCAGACTACAGCATCAAGCCCTAGTTTTGTGGCTGGATATTTTATAATGTGAATGTTTGTAGTTAATAGATTCATATGAATGCTTATTTATTGTGGGCTAATTTGTCAAGTTATTTCTGAGAGGATAGAAAAAAATCTATTTTACTTTAGAATGTCCACGTGTGAGATGCTAGGTCTCCGTCTCTGCTTGTGAAGCTGAGAGGGAGATTGTTTTGTACAATGTATGATGTGTTGTCTATACTGTAATTTAAGCCTTGTTACATGATGCCAATATCACAACTTTTTTGTTTATTTTTCTGTTGATGAGTGTGTCATGCTTGATGAGCTGTACAAACTTTTTAAGCTTTTAAATGTGATTATTAGGGTTTAAGAGAGAAAAATAAGACTGTCTTTATGCGCAAGTGGTGTGTTCTTTTCCTGTTTGCATGCTTGTCTCACACTAGTGGTCAAATTGTGATGTTGTAAAGGAATCTGTCTTTGTAAATATTTCAAACTTCTCTCATAGGAATCAGATATTTTTTCACATTAGTCCATACAGATGATGACCTGTGTACCTGTGCTGTTGCAGGAAACTATGGCGTCTGTTCAGCATGTCAGTGTTGCAAACATGGTTGATTATTGCTATTAAGAAATTATGGACTTGTAGAATTTCTTTCAATGATTTATGGCCATTTTTTGGAGGTTATTTTGAGTTGAAGTTTCTTGATGCACCGATGAGGCGACAACCTTGCTTTTGTAACTGTCCTCCTCAACTGTTTTGTCAAATCACCAAGTGCCATTGTCTGTAGTCTCATTTCATAATGTCATCGTGCATAGCGCTTGGATCTTCTAGTTTGTCCTACAGAGAATCATGCATCTTAGGGCTAGTCCATCTCCGTTAAAAGTCTACATGAGAAGATGCAGAAAAATATCAAAATTGTTCCTGGGGGAAATCTATGTTAATTGCTAACTGCTTCCACTCTGAATGTCCCTCCTGTGTTTGTGTATCATGTCAATCGGACCATGCTGCAATGGAATAAACATGTTCTATATATTTTTCTTTGTGTATGAAATGTCAAACAGAAGTTTGGAAGTCAAGGCTTTGATCTCTTTGCAAGTTTTTGTGTGAAATTTTAATCAAATCTTTTTTAGAAGTAAACTTGTTTAACAATAAAACAGGAAGTGGGTTGTTTTGTATTTTTTGTAAGAAGTCTTTCAAGGAAGTTTTGTTGCATCATGTCTTATATTTTTTAATCACTCAACTTTTGCAATTAGTCCTAGTTATATATATCTCTGCTTTGATCCCTGTTTAAACTTTGTGCAAATAAAAGCTTTGTGATATGCGTTCAGCAATTGCTGCATTTGTAAGTATTTGGTTACAATATATGTGTTCTTTATTTGACGAAGGTGTATTTCATATAGATATCACTGGCCAGATTAGCTTATCTAGGTGGCTAAGTTTCCTTTATTCCCACAAATTTACAAGTAAATCATTCTGATTTGATATTACGTAAATGAAGTGCTGCTGAATGTGTGATTTCTGAAAGCTGAATCTTGAAATAAATTGACACAGTCACTGATACCAGACAGTGTGATTGGCTTGTTGGGTCTTGTATTCATAATTGTCTCTCTCATATCTTTGTATGATTGATAATCTGAGATATACATGTATAATGATTATTGATTATCTGATATATATTACAATCATTGGCTATATTACAATCTTTAATTTGTGGGAATGAAGAAACCTAAAGCTTTTGACTGCCTTGTATAACAGATTAGTTTTAACATGCTGTAGTTATTGAACATTCCTCATCAAACAAAAAATCAGTTAAAAGCTGTCAATTTGTTATACGGGTTCGACATTATTAATTTGGGAAGTGAAAAGATTACAATATTTAATATTTATAACTTTAAAGATCAGTCAAAATATTAATATTTGATATTCATGTTGTCTCAAAAAGTAAAATGAAATGATTTGTTGATTTAAAAATCATGTGTTGCAAAATACTCAACCAGAATCAACGAACCTGTTCACACATTGTTGGCTTGCCCTCTCAATTAAAGGGAGGTAACTGCAATCTGGCCTCAGCTAAGGGGATTCCCCTACCATGCTTTATGCATAATTGTACATACTGTTGTTCGGCAGACAGGAATGTTTCACATAGAATATGAAATAAAGGCAGTCTCACCACATGAAGCTATTCTTCTTATTTATTTTTTAGAAACAGAACTTGAGCAGATCAGCATTAGATTTCCTTGTGCACTGCTGTTTGAAGACATCCACAGAAGATTACCAACACTTGACTGATCTAAGAAAGAAATCTTTCTTATGAGAAGCATGTTCAAACCATAAACCATAAATCGCCAAACCATAAATAGCAACACTTCACCAAATAGACAGGGAATGGAGAAGTGAGTGCTGAAGACATCAGTGTGCTGCTGGACAATCAATAATCAGTCCATGTTCCAGCTGCTGGTTTCCATCCACTGTGTTGCTGCTCAAAGTGCACACAGTCGTCACAGTTAGAAAACACTGATTAAGAAGATGGGTCTCCACTTTGGCTTTGAAAACAAAGGGATGGAGAGAATATTCTAGTTCCATGGAAGGCATGGACCATGATATGAGCTGTAGGCAAATGTCAGTATCTTCAATTCAATCCTTGCAGCAACAGGGAGCCAAAGTTGTGACCTCAGATTGGGAGTGATATCTTCTCGCTTTCTGCAAGGACTTGTTAGTGGTGCAGCAGCATTTTGTACTTGCTGTAGTTTGTTGCAGAGATCTAGTCAGACGTTAGTAACCAGTCGGACGTTAGTCAGTACTATAGTCCGTCAACCATCATTTTGGCCCCCTTTTTTACACAAATATTTTCCATTAAACACACGATCAGGCAACAAAGGTTGGTTATTATCGAATAATCACTGATTTAGCTGAAAATACCATTTTTGTAATATTTCATGTCCGAATAAAAATAATTTCTTCATTGTCATCATGTAACTTTGTGACCATCGACATGGGCCTGTCGTGGGGTAAGAACAGATGTCTCACAACAATGACATAATGGGTGTCAAACAGTTGCTCCATGCATGACCCGAAGTCACTTTAATATCTAGCCCGACGACAGGGAATGTCTCAAAGACATGAAAATACATTAAAATGTGTTTTGAATTGAAGTATGATTTAAACTATCTTCGTATATAAAAACGTAATATACGTGAACTGCTGATTAAAACACCCCTCGAGTCGTGCATCAGATGTGCAGCCGTAGGAAAATCTGTGTTTAATGTCTGTGTTATCAATCAATAGCGACAGGTGAAATGACATTTCTCAAATACCCATTTGTCAAAACTATCTAGCTTTTCTAAGTTCTTAACGCTTATCAGGGGAGATAATTCGGGGGAAAAGTATTTCGAGACGTGCCAGTTGCATGCAATATGCTCTTTGTGAAACAAGAAATATCAAGGGTGTTGCCCTTTGACAACACATCAACCAGAGGTCACGTGTTGCGTGACCTCGAGTCATGCATGCAGCAGGGATGTTTCACAGGCACTATATTGTTCTGAGACATTAAGTCGTCTCTTCTTATCCCCCACTGCAAGGTAAGGGGTCACAAAATTGAATGGTAACAATGAAGAAAATATTTTGATTCGGACATGAATTATTACAAAACAAGTAGTTTTAGTTAGATCAATGATCATTATTTGATAACAAATTTTCGTTGCGTGGTTCTGTTTGATGAAAAATAATTGTGAAAAACCGGGTGCCAATTGATAGTTGCGGACTAAAGACTATTACCATAGTCAACACAGGGAACCGGTGATCTCACAAAATGACAGATTCAGATGTTAATACGAGCCTTATCTTCCCAATACTTTTGATTAAAAAATAACAGACTCTACACAGATGGGCAGTAGTATAGGTAGCCCCCCTGGAACCCTGAGACCGGTACACCCACGATGGGGCCAGATTTATACCCCAATACTACTACTACAGGAGGGAATTTTTTTCTCTCTTCCATTAAAATGATTATGCTATTCTACGGTCGACATGACATTAAACTAAATATTATTTGTGGTGAAAAAACGAGAGGTGCCGAAACAGGATTGTATCAAAGTATAGGAAAAGAAACAAAGTCGAATGCGCCCAAATAGGTGTACTCCCGAGCCAAATACGAGGCACCTCGTTGTGCACAGACAGCGTTCTCTCCCGTTGTGCACATACACAGTGTTCTCTTTCGTTGTCCACAGATGCTGTGTTCTCTCTCGTTGTGCATAGACACAGTGTTCTATCTCGTTGTGCAGACACAGTGTTCCATCTCGTTGTGCATAGACACTGCTTCGGTACACAACTAGAGAGAACACTGTGTCTGTGAACAACGAAAGAGAACACCGTGTCTGTGCACGAGAGAGAACACAGCATCTGTGCACAACTAGATAGAACACTGTGTCTATGCACAACGAGAGAGAACACTGTGTCTGTGAACAACGAAAGAGAACACTGTGTATGTGCACAACGGGAGAGAACGCTGTCTGTGCACAACGAGGTGCAACGAAGTTAGGGGGTATGATGGAATCAGCGTGTCAGCCCGTCTATCCGTCTGTCCGCAGAAAATAACTTTCCGAGTAATTCCTTCCAAACTTATTGACTGATTTCAATTAAACTTTGTACACGTGCTCACCTCAACATGTTGTTGGACACACCAAATTTTTTTTTTTTCATTTGGGCGGAGTTATTGCCTTTTATTACTTCGTCATTTCAATTTGTCTGGACAACTTCTAAACTACTACATCGATTTCTCTCAGATGTGTACGTAGGTGTAGCTACGGACACTGTACGACATACCTTCATTAATTCCCCATAGGACAGTTCTAGTTAGCTCCATTTTTATCTATACACGCAAGATGTCCGAAAGGCTTATGTGACGTATTGCCATCCGTCTTTGTACGGCGTGCGTCATCCGTCATGCGAAATCTATTCACGATCCAATACGATTTATTCATAAAATATGTCGAAAAATAGCATTTACAGCTCACCTGCTACGAATTTCCGTGGGGAGCTTATGTCAGCCATGAAATGAAATACTCTACAGGCCGTATGCCTAATGTTCTTTTTCGCTATTTTCAATCAACAATGGTCTTACTACAAGATATGCTAAACGGCTATAGAAACTTCATGTCCGAAAAATATAAGTTTTAAGTGGCTATATTTGACTCGGCACAGAACTTGGGAAACCTACGGTTTGTTATTTTAACCAAACACCATTGCATTGGAATTCCTGTCGTTTGTAATAACATTATTTTGATTCTGGTGTATGCTTAACTGTCATATCCGTAATACTGCAACAAAATGTCCATTATTTTATGCCTAAAACTCTGTTAATGGACAACCCACCATCATTTACAACTTGGTCTGATCTGCTTGGGCTGAGTCCTCCTTCCCGTCGTTACGGTATTAGGATAGTGACGAGGTTACCCTGCAGAGTATCGAAAAATAACCTTTGTAAAACAGTAAGTTTGTTAAAAATCGGTTAAGAAGCCTGAATATAACAACCAGGTGGTCGTTGTAGAGTAGGAATCGAAAAATGATTAGTCATTTGCACATCTAGACAAAGTAACGATCAATTAAATCTGCGAAGTTTCATGAAAGTTCGATAAGGATTATTTCAATGTGATAACCCTTAATGTAAAAAAAATATATTATCTATCACTTCAAACCCTTATGTAAAAAAAATTACATTAAGAGTAATTCTTACATTAGAGGTTGTAACAGAGCATGCATGTGATAAACATTCATAAATAAATTTAACGTGACAAAAGAAATGTGTTTTCATAATATGTATTGTGAGATGAAGACAGGCTGATTGATTTGTAAATAAAAAATTGAAAATTGATATAAGAAATGTGATATTTTGATTTTAAATAAATAACAATAGTTTATAAACCCAATCTATCTTGTTTCAATAATAACTCATATGCAGCCTGACTAAAAATGTCAGGAAAAAATATTTAAATACAGCTTATGATAATACATGGAAAAAACTTGCTTGCATTACGGGATATTAACATGTAACATAACACTGGTACTCTATTAGCTAATTTTACCTGGAGCGTTTTTGTGTGCTATAGAACATATGCGGTATACTTTACCGAACCCATGTTCTGATGTGTTCAATAATATGTATTTCCTTATAATTACGATATGTGTTTAACATAATATAGTCGGAAATAGAGATATGAAATCAAACTTTGTTCTTTCAAGGCATAACTGTGATTTAACTGCTATTTTTTGTAAGGGGCATTTACATAAATTTACCGAAATGACCGGACATTTCCACTTGTAAAATAAACATATTTTCATAACAATGTCTTTAATTTTATGCTCAAATAGCAATGCCTCACTCATGTTAAAAACCCCGAAGCGCCGCTTCAGTACAATTCGGAAAAAAATAACAGTTACGTGTTTCTCTTTGTTACTTTTGTCGTGCACGGTGCAATCGTAATCGCCTGTAAGTGATGTTTGAAGGAAAAGTGAAGTTTCGGCTGTCAATGTACATACTGAATAAAGTTATCGCCCCTTCTGAATATTTATTTTGACACACGAGTTATTTTGTGAACTAATTTCAGTTACATCGTAATATGTTTGCATGACAATCATAGCAGACAAAGTGTCTTATGTCAACTGGACTCACAGCAAAACGATAGTGCGTGGTGCAGCAAACACCTCTATGAAACGTGAAATGAAAATGATCGACGATCTCGAGTTCGCCAAGCCACGCGTTGACTGAGCAAATTTGCAAAATACATGGACGTGTTTCAGGTTATGCAGTTCATCAATGACACAAAGGTCTGTCACTGAATATACTATAACACTGTACCCATATACCGACCAGGTTATGATAAACAATCTATTTCTGAAATACGTATCTGGAAATGCATATTTCGATTCAATTCTGGGAACCTGACAGCAAAATGCGAATTCCAGTGTATTACAGGCATATTTTAGTTAGACCTCAGGATTAAATGTGCAATATCTTCTGTATAAGACAATAGTCACTCAAGCGTACGTAAAATATGGTCAGGAAAGGTGAGGTGAAATGGCGTATAACGTCGCGTCCAAAATTATTCCACTTATATAGCAACGTGCATGCACGTGTGTGTGGCTGCTTGTACTTGTCAGAACCGATGCCGATTCATAGTGCTAGCCCACTGAGATACCATGCCGCAGTTTAACATAAATACCCCACTCAGACACAGTATACTGACTCCGAGCCGACCAATCCTTGTTTTGCCCCTTATTGCCGAGCGCCAGACAGGGTAACAACAAATACCATGTTTAAACGTCTATTGGTATGACGCGGTCGGGGATCGTACCCCGGACCTTGTGCCCTCCGGGTAGACGCTCTACCACTAGACCACAGAGGCAGTCTGGTCGGGAAAGAAGTGACCTTAACGTAAATATGTTTCCCTCTCATTATTGTAGCGAAATGTATCATTGATATTCTGGAATTCGTGAGAAAATAATAATTATTTTTCCTAAATAAACTCCAAATATAAAACACATTTCACGTTAATCCAAAAGAATGAAAGAAAAACATTGTTAAATGGCAAATATTAACATGCGCTCGCAACTTGTTGAGGTCGAAAATTGGACGGCGTAATTTTTGGGAGGGGAGTGTCTAGTGAATTGTTCCCTATAGATGTAGCTGGGTTACGCAGATAAACCCGATGGTCGAATGGTCGCATCCAAAAGCGGGAAAGATATGACACTCGGGTTTGAGAGAAATGGTACAGGTAAGTTACGTGAGGATTGTGAGAATATGCGGGACATGCCACCTGTGCATAAAATGGACTTGTCCGACATTGCCGATGTCAGATTCTGTTGGAGGAAGCCATCATTTTTTAAAAACGGATAAATGTGTTTAAAGCTTGTACATCTTATCATCATCCAAAAGAGACGATACATCAGGTTGAAATCTCATGTGAGAAATACTAGAAAACAATTCGTGGCGTTGTTAATCGTACAATAAAACAACTGCAGTGTTTTATTGTACGATAAACAACTCCCACTCGTCGTTTATTTTTTAATTAAACATAGATTAGTCTTTGGAAAGCATTTGGAAGTGATACACATTAGGAAAAGAATTTCTGGAAACATAGTGTATGAGGGAGGGCGGTAAAAACAGCATGGCCAAAATCATTGGGACACGCTTACTGTAAGTTACCGACGCCAGAGGGGGACACCTAAATATAACAAATAACTTTTGACCATATTTCTCGTACGAAGCCAGTGATAAATGTACTCCCACACAAGCACACTGGTCAAACACATGGTAAACACGCTTGTTATTTATCTCATCGATGTCGGTGTTCAATCGAAGGTATTCGTCTTCTTGACGCTCGTACATTCCAAACGACACACCATATCTCCCTGAAACACTTGAAAACGAAAACATTTCCATGCCCGGTATACTTTTCCATGTCTCCCACGGGAGGCAATAGCTGTTTAACAGTCGGGAGCTTTCTGTTTGACTGTTTTCTGAATGACAAATAAGAATTTAAGTTGACCAGTGTGCACCCGTCATCCTAGCTTTGTTTATACAATATAGCGTACATATTGCAACTTAGTAAGGATAAGAATTTATGGATGAACAACTTCTTTATTACAATTAAGAGCGACGTTTCGGTGTAGGTTCTAACACCGTTATCAAGCAAGTGTTAGAACCTACACCGAAACGTCGCTCTTAATTGTAATAAAGAAGTTGTTCATCCATAAATTCTTATCCTTACTTAGTACTCCAACTTCTAAATGACTATCAAAGAAGATATTGCAACTTGTTTGCGTGTACGTTTTTCTTTAGTGTGCCGTAAAATGCGGCTATGCTTGTCGTAAGAGGCGACAAACGGGATCGGGTGGTCAGGCTCGCTGACTTGGTTGATGCATGTCATCGTATCCCCGTGGAGCGATGCTCATGATGTCAATCACTGGATTGTCTGGTCCACACTCGATTATTTACAGACCGCCGTCATATAGCTGGAATATTGCTGAGTGCGGCTTTAAACAACAAACACATTTAGTGTGTAATTGTCAATATTGTTATTTAAAAAACAAACAGGTTGATATATAGACGTGTAATAATATTTTGATACTAAAACTGAATAGATAACTTTAAAAAAATTGAAAATACTAGTTTTTAAATATATATATGCACACATTTTAGTAGAATTGTCTTGGCCTGGGAAATGTTTTTATGTCGCTTGATAAACACAACGGTGACGTCTCATGATGCACCAGGTGCGCGTTAGTCACAAACGACTAACGAATGATTCCTCTCGTTTTGTATTATATAATCAATGGGTTCATCCTTTATAAAATATTTTGATCGCAAGATATAATATTTCATTTTTTCTTATGTTTTCTTTTATACCTAAAGAATACAGTTTCAATATCGATGTGTGTTGAAACAGTTTGACTCCTAGTGAACAAATCATCACGAAGACATTGTCCTTATCCACAGCAAATTCTCACCATGTTACCTGAGATACAATGAACTAATGCTAAACATAGCAGAGTTATGCCCCCTTTTCTTTGTACGTGCGTTAACTCTCTGTCGTCTTGTGGCGTCATGGAGAAAAATCAGTTTTCATCATTTGCGACAAGCTATTTTTTGTTTTAAATGTATTCCGTTATACATGAGCATAAAAATACATTTGATATATATTTATGTTGTTCAGATATTAGGCAGTATTTTGTTCACTCACAACCTCCGTTGCTAAATTTTAAAAATCGTCGCACATTACTTTTATCGATGTACAAAACAGAACAAAATCTCGCACAACACTTAGCAGTGTCTTTTTTCAGACCGGTTTAATATTTTCAGTTAAATTTACACCATCAGATAGGAAAGGGTACCCATGCATTATACCGGACACCTATCCGCCATGTTTGTTTGATTTTACTAACAAGTCTGCACTCTACAGCATATCGAGACATCCGAGGTTCGAGACAACCAAAAATGATGAATAAAGGAATATGCAGGGATCAAACTTTTACTTCGAGACAAAAGTAGGTTCGACACAAAGAAACTTGACTGTAGTTGTAACAATAATTATCATTTCATCACTTTAACCCACTGGATGCCGATTTTGGTTTTCTGACGCACATTTTCATAAGTTCTGAAAAGTGAATGTTGTGCGAGAATTGCGCTATTAAATTACGCAGGGATGTAGAATTTCCTATCTGGTGGTGTAAATTTAATTTCAAATATCAAACCGGGTTGAAAAAGGACACTGCTATGTGTTGTCCGAGAATTTATTCTGCTTTGAAAAACAGCAAATTTCGCCGCTTTTTATGGTACACCGATAAAAGTACTGTGCGACGATGTTTTTATTTGGCAGCTTTACTGACACTGTGAGCGAACAAAATACTGCCTAATTTCTGAACGACATAAACAACGTTGGAAATTGGCACTTGTCC